CCCCCCCCCCCCCCCCCGGGATGGATGAAGAAAAGGATCACTTGAAACAAGACTAGAAAAATTCTGAATGTTATTCACGCTATTGAATTTTACAAGGCTCTACTACATTAATTTTTCATTAAAATATGTCCTAATTTACAATAAATTACAATTACAAATAATGCAGGACTGTTACAACAAGATCCTCTGAGATAATGCCAGGAAAAGGTGAGATGGACTCAATAAGAACTTAATGATTACATCTATAGCCTTTTGGGGAAACAAATAACAAGACCTTGAACTTTCAATTGTTGGATTGCGTCATTTTGAGGCCATTGGAATTGAATTTCCCTTCCCTGGTTTATGCTCCATCATGAATCAAACGGCATTACCAATCTATAAAATTTAAGGTTTGTTTTTTGTTATTAACTTGAGCAAAATAGTTTCACAGTGATTTTTTTTTCTCTTTTCTTTTTCCAGTTATTGTATCACACTATCACCTCCTATTGTTGTCAATACTCTTTGTATCTTTTCTCCCATTAATGGAGACTTTCATACCATTACCAATAGAAAAGTTTACAAATCAAACTACGTAAAATTTATAATTAAGAACAGACACCTGTTTAACAAACATATCCCAGAAAAGGGGGGCAACAATGGCAGTCTCCCAATTATGCAGATGCAATACATCAGGCTGCTTCCCACATTTTACCATATAATCCAATGATGCCCGACAAAAATAGGAGAACCTGATGGAAAGAGAAATCATATAAAGATTATTGACATTTAAGTACACCAAAGTAAAAGGAAAATGTTGTTGCATGCAATTATTTATAGTTCCCTTATTATAATTGGGATTAGTTTTCCTTATTTCTCTCTTATTATTATTATGTACATATTTGTAGCCTAAATCTCTAGGTTATCATTTATTTCATCTGATTTTCATGGCTATATATATATATATAGTAGCTACTGCTGTAAACTAATCAGAAAAATAATATACAATTCAGATCTCTTTTCAAGTAAAAACTTTCCTCTCACTTATAACCAGAAACTAAGGTCCAGATGAGATACTAGCTATCAGAGTATCTCTTTTTAGATATGTAGATAGTTTGAATGCACAAAAATTCAGTCATAATGGGTTTCAAAAATAGTATGTTGATATGCAAAAATTATACAATCTTTTCCTCATTTTAACTTCTATTTTTTTTACCTTTGCAGTCTGTGAATTAACTCATCTATTTTTTGTTGCAACAGTGGCAGCACTCAAACTATATATTGTCAAGCTGAAAACACTTGCATTTGAAGAAAATATCCTGCCTTCCAGTCTCTAATTTTAATTCTTAATTATATTAATTTTCCCTTTAACCAAAAACATTTCAAAATTCTCATTAGCATTTTATATATACTTCAAAGTGTAAGTTTTTCTTTGTTTTGCCATAATAGCAGATGGAAACTAGATAAATCAATCATTACATATATCATTTCACTCACCTTTCAAAATCATCAGGGTAGCCATATATCATCTCACGGCTGAAAAATGATGAATAGTACACTGGCTCGATCAAAATGACTCCAATGCCATAAACAACACTGTCACACACTAAGAGTAAGTATAGAATAAATGAAAATCAGTAGATTTTAAACAAGGAACAAGACATAAAATATTATTTCTAATATCTTTCATTGATAATTTTATCCATTTTATATGAAAACATATGGTAATTAAACAGACAAAGAAAGCCAAACTAACCCAGTCCAAATTCTATTTCCATGTAATTGACCATTAAAATATGAGTAAACCTCTGCATTAAGTACACGTAATCCTTGCACTTCATCTAGGTTTAAACTTGCATACCTACATGAAAATTAGATACAACAAAATTAAGGAATTATAAAATATCAACAAAGTATTAAACTAACATAGCATTATAATATACGTCAAATGCCTAGAAACAGAGCACAAAATAGACTAAGAAGTTTTATGCCCATTTTGGTCGATAATTAATTGAAAGAGTAACACAAGGCAAAGGAAATAAAAGGACATAAATTTCTTAATTACTTTGGCAATATAACCTCCACCACGTGGCCCTTTCTTTGAAGTGCACGAGATATGCCGGTCACATATGAAGCTATTGATCCTCTAGGAACCAATGGTGTCATTTCTGTGCAAATGTGAACAATATGAAAACCATTCCTGAATGAAGTTGATACAACAAAGGACAATCAGGTTTTAAATACTTCATCTGAGAAAAGAAAACTGAAGAATAAACATAGTAACTTATTATACCAATTATGAACAGAGAATAGTTCCAGCATAAACCTAGGCTGACTCAGTATCATATTAAACATCAAATGTTTTATTGTTTATAGTTAATACAATAAGCTTATACATCTCTAGTTTTATAGATTATAATATTTATGCCTCTCTGCAAGCTCAGTTACTTTTCAGTAACTTGAGTATGCTACATGCTGTGTGCCACTACTACCCAGTAAAATAAAATTACCGAGAATTTTGAATTTTTTTCAGAGGTTTGAGTAGGCACATAACACAACATACATTGGATCATTCATTGAGAGCTTTAAATCAAGTACAAGCAGGATTTACTTTTTGTGTCCATTTGAAAAGTGACGAAGGTCTCCCAGAAGTTCAGGATCTCTTTTCTGTGAGATAGTATTAAAAACATCAGCCACACTCACTCTGTGGTTCACCACCAAACTTCTTAATTCAGATGCCTCTCTGGGACTAATCATGCTGCCAAGGACCATGGAGTCTATCCGAAGCAACAATTCTGAACTAGCTGATAGGCTATCTGGGTTACAAAATACAAACAAAAACATAGTTCAATTAATCATCTAGAACTTAAAAGACTTTATTATTGTTAAAATTGGATTAATAATAAATTTTGTTACTATAGATTTGAAAGTATTCTGGGGTGAGGCTTATAAGGCAATGGTCTGTCCAACTAAATAAGCTAACTATTGTGGTGTGGTTCTTCTAAGGTTCTTATCAATTGATATCAAAGTCTTTCACCGCATCTCTCAGCTACGCACAAACAGTGCAGGTGGTCACTGGCATTGCAGCTTTTGCCTGGGACTAATCAAAGGGCTAGTGCACAAGCAGCCCACATGAATGTCAGGGCTGCAGAGCGTGGTTGGATGTTAGGATTCAATTGCAAGGTATAGGACTTGAGTCCTACATTCGAAAGTATGACATGGGGTTTATAAGGCCTCGGGCTCTCCAACTACAAGGGGCAATGGCTAGCTTTTGTGACATGATTCATCCAAGGTTCTTATCATGGGAAATGAAGTAAAGAAAACACTGGTCCTTTAAGCAAAGGGAAGGAAATGTATTTCTTAATTTAAGGGAAGAAACCAAATGTAATCAAACATGTGTCTATGGAATCATGTTTCAATAGTATGACAGAAGATAAACTAAAGGATGCTAACAACAAATGACATGTATTTATCTAGAATTGACCAAATATGTATCATGAGGTTCGAAAGTACATGCTATTAAACTATCACCTTTTACCTTTACCAGCACCAGCCTGCTTTTCTGCTTCCAACTTCTTTATCTTTTTGAGTAGCAACTGCTTTTCTCTGTTTGTTTTGTCTAGTTCATCAATGGCCCCAAGGCGTTGTTTGTTTAAGTATAGTATGTCTACATGCAACAAGAAAATACACAAGAAGTTATTTAACAAGAAAAGGTACAAGTATGACTGAGGTGAAAGAACTAACTCTGTTGAGCTTCTTTGAACAATTGCCAAATATTATCTTGTTTCACATTCTGGTCATCATCATATATTGACTGAAACACAAAGGGGGAAAAACAGTGAGAAGGCAATGCGAAAGTAAAAGGACATGTGAAAACACATCATCTTTGAAACAAAACTACAAAAAGCAACATACCTGGGACATGTCCACTTTTTTATTACCCTCTGACCTAAGATACAAATTCCCAAGTTAGTTGCCGACTACCCTCGTATATGAATCGGCTAATATACACCGGAAAAAATTATTTAAAATTCAGAAACAAAAGAAGCGAACATAAAAGGAAAAAGGTTACTTTTGTTCATGTAAGCCATTGACATCTCCATTATTCCTGAAAAAGTGAAAATTCATCACAAGAATTAAGCAGAAGAAAAAGGGTAAGCCATGAACCATTCATGAGCTGAATTGCATAAATTATGAACGATCAAAGCAAAAGGGGCAACTTTTTAGTCTAAAAGGTACCAAAGTTGGATTTTGAGGACACCCCACTTAGAATATAACTGTAAAACACAAAAAATAGTGGTGAAGATTGAAAGGGTAGAGAAGTGGGAGTCAAATTCTGACCTGAAACAAGAGAGAGGAGGAAGTGCAATGGGTTTTGGGATGGAGGGGTGTGAAAGGCGTGGAACGGGTGAGTGGAAAAAAAACAATGTCCCCATATTCTGATTTCAGGTTCAGAAAGCTGTGTCCTGAAGCTGCAAGAGACTGATATTGAACCACAATCACACTCGTGTCCATGATAATGTAACTGTGTCGCTCATCCAAATCATTGCTTCATTTTGAAACTAGAAACATAAAGACAAGACAAGATGCCAACTAGGCAACACGTGTCCAATCATGTGCAGCTTGTGAATTCGGTCAAGCTAGAACTATATGTCCCCTTACTATGTTGCTGAACATCAAAGACAAGTATTTGAGTTCAAACCTCTTATCAATGAATGCAACACAACATACGAACCAAACAGGAACAACTTAATCGGACTGTTAGTACTTATTTACTTGGCTTTACAACTTTTTTCCCATAAAATAAAACACTTTTTACGGTTAAGATTTCATGACATGTATTTTCAAATACATTTGGTGTTAATACATTTGCATTTGATTTGTGCAAAGGTTCGGTGACGTTTGTTAAAATTATTTATATCAAATATGATTTTAACTTGTGTAATACATTGAATACATATTTTTATGCAACAAATTTATAATAAATGAATACTTTTGATAATATAAGTTATAATATAATTAAATTTTTAATAAATTAATATTTTTAAATATGTAACATACATTTTAAATTTATGATAAATGATTTATATTATGATATAAAGTTATTTTTAATTATTAATATTTACTTTTAAAAGTACTAAAATTCAATTTAAAAATAAAGATAAAAATTCATAAATAAAAATATGTAAGAAATTAAAAAAATCTAAAAACACTACACAATAATTTTTTAAAAAATATGTTTAAAAAAATATTATCTAAAAACATTCCAGTCCAACATAGTTATTTTAATTTATATATAAAGGTGATATAAATGTTTTACCTAAAATTTATGGAAAACGATAATACTTATTTGTGAATTAGTATTAATTAATTATTTGAAAATAATTCTTCAATTATTAAATATGCCAATTGTAAATTTGTAATTTGTAAAGATTATATTGATCACGATACCTAACTACATCGTGAAATTGTAGCTTAACTTTTATTTTGATGACCCCGTTAAATTGAGTTATTATATAACGTGCATCAAAAAATAATTTTTTTAATTATATTATTAGCATAAAATGTTTATTAATTTTTTTATTTATAACTAAGTTTCACAGAAAAATTTGATTCACTATATTTAATGAAATCTCTATGTTATTTTTATTTGTAATAATCAAATTTAAAATCTTATTTAAAATATGTGAACTAAGTTCCACTTATATTAACGATATGTCAATAAAACTACCTACTTTTATATATATATATATATATATATATATAATATATATATAAGAGTATAGAAACTATTTCCTATTAAATAGGTGTAAACTCTAAATTATTAAAGAAATGGTGGTTTATATATTGTTAATTGTTATTTTATTTCTTAAAAAGGATTAAACAAAACTGAATCATTCTTTGTTACCAAATTCACCATTTTAGTCATAACTTTTTTCTTTAATTCATAATAGAACATGGTGTATTTTGTATCTATATTATTATATTAATCTCCACCTGTTGTAGATTTCCTTCAATAATTATAAGAGTTAAGAAAGAAAGATGTCATCTCTTACAATTAGGTCTTAATTGCCGATTTTAAATCTTAAATCCTAAAACAAATAATCAAAGTGTGAAATATTTTAGTCTTTTTTTTATCATGGAATACTTGTAACACTTATATGTGAACTAAATTGGATAAAAAAATCGCGAAAACTTGTTAAAACTTAAATTAAGAAAGAATTCAAACTCATGGTTCTCTCGTATTTTCAATCTTTTATTTATCATAAATTTTTAAAGTTTTTTTAGGGCTTTTTATTGCTCATTATTTTCTGTACAACATAATAATCTTTCAAACATGGTTGAGAAAATTGTGTGACTTAATCAACAGAAGATTGTGAGTTAAGAAAAATCCCAGATTTGGCGTCATTTTTTTCCAAATTAATTTCTTCATGTTTTATTAATTATTATACAATTTTTGAAATTGACTTAAGATTTTATTTTTACATATATTTCATCCGACATATTTAAATCATGTAATTCATTATTAAAACCAACAAACTCTTCTAATAGTGGAGAGATTGAAACCTTACCTGATTGGAAATTTAAATTCTAGTATCGTCATTATAATTTTTAATAAATAAATAAAAATTCACTATCCATAAACGTGTTGAATAATTTATACAATAGTTTTAGTTTAATCAATATTTAATATTGAAATCAAATTTCAAATATGTAATTTCTTTTTGTTTATTATCAATGAGTATTCTTCTTTGGACATGGAAATAATTTTTTTTAGAAGTTTAACACAAATTAAATAGTTAGGTATTTTCTATTAGCTTGAATTTTTTATATTTATAAAAGTTAAAATTCAAATTTTAATCACTTAGTTAATTGATATAAATCTCTTATCTCTCTCACGTCTAAGTTGATATGCAATTAAATTAAGGAAATAATTTTTCATAGTAGTATCAACTTTTTTTTGTTCACAGTGATCCTCGTCAACTCAAATAGAATTGATTCTTATAAAAAATAAAATAACCATAGTTCGTTCTAATAAAATCATTAGTAAATATGTAAATTTTTACGTTTTTTTTCTCAAAAACTTAAAAAATTTAAAATGAATATTATCTTCGCACACTATAATATATTTAAAATTATTAAGTAAATTTTAAAAAATAATATAAATTTAGTTAATTTTTAATAATATATGAATTTAGTTAATATTTAAAAAGTGATTAACTTTAAGAAAAATATATCTAGATCCCTGCCTGCGCCCCCATGTAGCAACATCTCCTCCAATTACATTAATCAAGTTTCTTTCATCCTAATACCAATTTGCAGTTATTAGAGTTAAATAAAATATATCTACACACTTGTGACTATTTAAAAAATAAATAAAAGAACAAAACAAAAGCCCCTGACACTAAACTATCACACACATGAGAATACGGAAGTCGGTATAATGCTTTCTATTTTAAAATAATATTTGTTTAATAAAAATCACAACTCACAAATACATATTAATCATCAGTTGTGAATTTTGAAATATTGCATAAACTATATTTATGGAAAAAAAACAAACTAACATGCATTGAAATAACTTAAACCTATTTAATTTAAAATAAATCACTAAAATATTCTTCTAGCTCAACCTTAGTAAATATGTAAAAAGAATGTTGGAAACAAATTTAATTATATCAATGTTAAGGTTAATGAACCATGACTGTAATTAAATGCATTATTAATACACTTCTCTAAGGAGACCGAGCTAAAATACGTATTTACGGATTTGTTAAACTAATTCAAGTTATTTCTATACAATTATAAGAGTCGGATTTGAAGAAAAATTGGAGTAATATATAGGTAGTCTTATATATTTGAATTTAACTATTGTTATTTAATTTCTATAAATAAATAAAAATCAATAGATTCCTACACGCTAAGGCCGAACTACACAACTCTATTACAAGACGCAGTACTGCTATCTACTAAAAGACTCATCTAAAAAATGTGCAAACAATAATTAATGAGCAAAATTTTTAGTTTTCTTTTTTCTCGATTGGTTACCTTTTAGGCCACCCAAACTACCCCCTCCTTTCACATACAGTCCCCAAGTCAATACTGAACATTATCACAAGTGCCATCTATATTTCCTTTTCAAATTCAAACATATATTATGCAACTTGTAATATTTGATTCGAGTCTGAACAGAGTTGCCCTGTTTATATTTCACTGTGGTTTGAATAATTAAAGAATATAAATAAATTTAATATCAAATTAATTGGTCTAACTTGTGAAATTAGTTTAATGAATTTCTCTCAAATTTAATTATATTTAAGAGGATTTTTATAAGCGCACAACCAATTTCAATTTAATAACCTTTTAAACAGATAATTTCATTTCAAAATGGAAAAAAAAAACAGCTCTTAATTTTCGAGTAGTGTATATAGATTTTCTCACATAATTTCCTGGTTAGGGTGTTCTCTGTCACGTTAAATAGTTCTTCTCGAGCAATGAATTAGCCGTGTGGTAGACTTGTAAAATTAAACAAGAATAAACATATATTCCTTATGTTTAGTGTGTTGACTGTTGGGAAAGTGTAATAGAATGAATGATTAGCGTAGTACTTGGAACTTAAATTGAAAGCCAATGTTCAATGTTCATCCCCTGCTAATCGTGAATCACGACACAATCAATTGAAGTTGACAACGCACGCTATGCATTATAATTCTAGTGGCAACGAGAAGAGAGCAATGGCAGACAAGATAAGAGATGGTGGTGTGACACAGAAGGGAAAACTTGCTTGGTTTGCAACGCATGATAGAAAATGTTAAAAGCTTAAGGAGGACCCAAAGGGAAGAAAAATGTAAATGTAACACTACATAAATACCATTCTCATATAAGACTAGAGTTGTAAATTTGAACAGAACCAATGGTACAATATTATTCTAAGGCGAGATTTTATCTTATACTATCCTAACAATCCGAACCACACAATACAACATAACATTGTCTCAAAAGATTGGACCAGCTGCGAGAATCTCTTCTGTCAGGTTGTTGCTGCCCTTGCCAATCTTGTAGTTGGTGAATGTTTCAAAATTCTTCTTGAACAATCCAGCTAACTTCAATAGTGTCTCCTTGTAAGCCTTTTTGTCTGACCACTGCAATCACAAAAACACCAATGTTAAAAAAGAACATGTCAAAGGATAGAAAAAAAAAAAAAAAAAAAAAAAAAGGGGAAAATTTTTT